ATTTTTTGCTAATGTGCTAATTCTAATTCGCATGGATATCCCCTAGAATCACGATAACCAAACATAAAAATAATAAAAGGTGTAAATATTCGTGAATAGGCATGGTTATACGCCAATAAAAAATACTTCCGAGTCCCTAGATTTTTGATGAACCTATTAATCTTGAGTTAACAAATAGCCTTTCGGCCCTGGAAGCATGTCGTAGCTCAAAGTTTGTGGCGTTCCCATGTTACTTAAAGTAAATGCATCGAAACAATTTGAATGGAAAGATCCAGAAATTTGCAATAGGAGTATTTTCTTTAAAAGTATTAAACAATATGAATGTCTGTAACCAGGATTTACATCTGAAAATGTTGGTTGCATGTTACCAGTTACAAATTTACTCAACACATGGGTAGTGCCAATATGGAAATTATTTGTACCCATTACCCATGGATCACAATGAAGGATGAGTGAGTATGATGCATACCCGTAGTATATACATCTACTGAATAGCGTATATTCGCAATTAAAGAGAGGCCCCGCTGGATCGGCACCAATAAAAATCGCAACTTTTTCGCCTGTTTCCAAATGGTAATAATACGTTGCATATCCGAGTATCTGAGCTCCCAAACTATGTGCAACAAATGTAAGAAATTCACCCTTGACTTTACATTGAATTATCACCTTCACAATTAATCGGGCCATCAGCGACAAATAACATTTAGTTAATGCAACATATGAAGAACAAGATAATCCATAGGCTCCCCATTCGAAAATAACAACAGTTGCATTCCTGATTCTTGCAACCTCTTGCCACTCTGGTATTGTCATGCGTAGAACTGTAACGTGAGAAAACCAAATTAAAAATAATTCAATAGAAAATTAAAATTACCATTTTATTACGAGTTTCATATGGTTTTTCGCCTAAACAATTTTGAAAATAGCCACTATGACCAAATATTACATATTCTGCAACCAATAATGAAACTTGACACTTGGCGATGAAGTCCAAAAGAGTTATGTTTTCATTTGTTGTGCTGAAAATAAGAAAACATTTTTTTGGTGTGAACAAAATAGAACTGAGAAAGTAAGAAACAGCGAAGAAAATTAAAAAAGTATTACATATTTGATCGAATACTTACGCAGTGATAATTATCACATTATAATAAGAGGTTAGATTGCTTGCAAATCGAAATGTTTGAAATGTTGCTCCTATAAATGAGCCAAAATATTCAAGAGGTCCCAAATATTCTGACATGACATCCACTACATTTTTCACCGGTGAGAGGAGACCCATTGTTATATTCAAACCCGTACAAAAAGGCTCACCACAATCTTCAGAAGTACAAAGTATATCTGCAAAAAAATATCAATTTTATTCCTGAATTTTTATTTAAAAAAAACACCTCATATAAAAATTCTAACCACATTCCAGGCAATATCCACGAACAACGCTTAAGAAGAATAATGATATGAACACTTTTTGAAGCAGCAACATTTTTGAAACGAATAATCTTTTTGACTGATCTCACTTGAATGAAAGCTGCACTGCATGATTGTGGAATAAATATTCTCTTTAACCTTCAAACGAAATCAAATTCATTTCTAAAAAAAGATCTGCTAGACTTTGTTTTGCTCACAATTTATTCACCGCCTGATTTTACACATCTGAGTAAATAAAACATAATCCATTGATTTAAAAATGAATTGCAGCAGTAAATTAAATAAATGGAATATTCCCAAACCAAGTCTTCAATTTTTTAAATTTTAAAGGTATTTCTTTAGACCATGATCACAAAACCAATGTGCGAATTGTATCTGATACGAAAACACGGTCGTTAAGTTAATGGAATGTAGATCCTCGGTACGAAAAAAATTTCATGAACAAAAAAAAACGTCAGCCTTCTGGTCCCTTACTTTTAAAATAATAGCTCGATTGTTTTGATCTGCTTAGCTTTTGGACTTTTTTTATAATGCACCGTAAATATGTTGAATAAAATAATTATTTGTCAGGGCGATTTCAATGAACGTAATTAGTAACCTTGGAATTAATGACTGATATAACAGAGCACCTTTGCTAGGTACTGCTCCTAGATATATATGAGTTAGTGTGATTACTGTTTTACTTTTCCGCACACCTAGTGTAGGGAAGGTATTGTATTAGGCCAAAAAATTAAAGTCATCCCAAAACATGTTTTCTATGCAAATTTAATGTAGAAAACACGATTGGAGATGATTTTGGGGCATATTAATGTGCGTCGCTGTGTGTGATATGTCCTGTGTCCTGTGTCCTGTGGCGTGTTGCCAAAATTTGTTAACTCGATAAATCTTTTTCCAAAAACTCAATTCAAATTCTGACTTTGCAGGATGATTTGGGACTACTGGGAGACGTGGTGATTAGTTTTTGAGCAATATCTGTTGACCGGTGTAATTTTTTTGGGTCCGAATGGACACAAACACAATCCATACATTTTACTTTTTTGATCATTTTTCAACCATTTTGGTGACACGATGGTTTCGTGCTCAGACATGAAATTCAAAATCTGACTTTACGGGATGATTGGGCGTTACGGAGAATAGATCTGGTCAAATTTTCAACGACATTGATTGATCGATGTAAAACTTAGACTGTGAAGAGGCACTTATGAGAAAAATGCCTTAAAATGATATTCTTTCAATTTGAACGCTGAAAGACTGTGTAGTGGGGGTTAGTGTATGTTAGTTTTAAGATGCAATCAATTTTTCACAGACTTTTCATACAAAAATCGAAAAAAAAAATTCACTTGCCTTTGTGGTACTGTAATGATGTGAAACTTTGAACAGGCTATTTTGTTTGATTGAAATTTCTTTAAACTTGGTGTGATTATTTATTTTGATAAGAAAATAATATTCACAAGTTTTAACGGTAATTTAAGTTACTGCAACCATACATAGACCATCATTTCTGTTTATTCCCAAAATTTTGGTTCCATGCGGAAAAGTCAGCTTGCGTACGTAAGCCTCTTTATTTTTTTGGATTAGTAAGAGATGTGTACCAATACGATCTCAGAAGCGACTTCTAGCAAAAACACCAAAGCCGTGGCGTCAATTCAAATTTATTGATGCAATTGTGCGATCAAATAGAATGCACTTGAACAATTAAAAAACGGCGAGAGAATGGCGTTGAATCCAGATGTTATAATCACACGTGCGCAAACACAAAAAATGAATTAAATAAAGTTATGCGAAAGAAATTCTTGTGAACATATTTGAAGATGTTTTTTTAGCGCATTATCGCCAGTTGAATTCAAAAAATGACATAATCGGCATTCTGATCCAAATTCTCCAATGCATCCCCACAATCACTAAATCCGAGTGAAATAAAAAAAGTTTTTTTTTTTGAAAAAAATCTTTTATTTTAGCAAAAAAGCGAATAAGTTATTCGGAATGAATCAAATCTTCCATTCGAATGAATTAAATCTTTTTAATTCGATGGATCCAAAATGTAGTATTACGATAATCACGATAACCATGAATATTTACTTTTTGATGAACCTATTAATCTTGAGTTACAAAATAGCCTTTCTGCCATGGAAGCATGTAGTAGCTCAGAGTTTGTTGCGTTCCCATATTATTTAAAGTAAATGCATCGGAACAATTTGAATGGAAAGATCCAGAAATGTTCAATAGGAGTATTTTCTTTAAAAGTGTTAAACAATATGGATGTCTGTAACCAGGATTTATATCTGAAAATGTTGGTTGCATGGAACCAGATACAAATTTACTTAACACATGGGTAGTGCCCGTATAGAAATTATTTGTACCCAATACCCATGGATCACAATGAATGATGAGTGAGTATGATGCATACCCGTAGTATACACATCTCCTGGCTATCGTATATTGCCAATCAAACAGAGGTCCCGCTGGATCGGAACCAATAAAAATCGCAACCTTTTCGCCTGTTTCTAAATGGTAATAATACGTTGCATATCCGAGTATATGAGCTCCCAAACTATGTGCAACAAATGTAAGAAATTCACCCTTGACTTTACATTGAATTATCACATAGACAATTAATCGGGCCATAGCCGACAATTGACATTCACATAAGGCAATATATGAAGAACAAGATAATCCATAGGCTCCCCATTCGAAAATAACAACAGTTGCATTCCTGATTCTTGCAACCTCTTGCCACTCTGGTATTGTCATGCGTAGAACTGTAACGTGAGAAAGCCGTATTAAAAATAATTCAATAGAAAATTAAAATTACCATTTTATTACGAGTTTCAGAGGAGTTTCTGCCGTAACAATTTCGATGCCAGCCACTATGACCGACTATTACATATTCTGCAACCAATAATGAAACTTGACACTTGGCGATGAAGTCCAAAAGAGTTATGTTTTCATTTGTTGTGCTGAAAATAAGAAAACATTTTTCGGTGTGAACAATTGTCCTATTGATTTTTTTTTACTTGAGTTGACTTTGTAATCAGCGAAAAATTCCACAGCAAAGAAAATGAGTTAAGTATTAAATAGTTGATCGAGTACTTACGCAGTGATAATTATCACATTATAATTAAGGGCTGCCGTTTGATTGCTTGAGAAATCATATAGAGATGGTTGAAATGCAGATCCTACGTACGAGCCAATAATTCCAAAAGGTCCAAACAATGGAGACAGGAGATCCACTGCAAATTTCACCGGTGAGAGAAGACTCATTGTTGTATTCAAACCCGTACAAATAGGCGGACCCAAATCCTCAGAAATACAAGTTGAATCCTCTGCAAAAAAAAAATATGAATTTTATTCCTGCATTTAAAAAAAACACCTCGTATAAAAATTCTAACCAAAATTTAGGCAATATCCACGAACAACACTTAAGAAGAATAATGATATGAACACTTTTTGAAGCAGCAACATTTTTGAAACGATTAATCTTTTTGACTGATCTCACTTGAATGAAAGCTGCACTCCATGATTGTGGGATAAATATTCTCTTTCCTTCAAACGAAATCAAATTCATTTCTAAAAAAAGATCGGCTAGACTTTGTTTTGCTCACAATTTTACACATCTGAATAAATACGTAAAACAAAATCAAATAAAAACGCTCCGATTCGACAGTCCTATTGGTTTGAAAATGAATTGCAGCAGTAAATTAAATAAATGGAATATTCCCGAATCAAGTCTTTCATTTTTTAAATTCCAAAGGTATTTCTTTAGAGCATGATCACAAAACTGATACATAGACACGGTCGTTAAGTTAGTGAAATGTAGATCCTTAGTACGAGAAAAATTCATACAATGATTTTTGGATAGGATAGAAAAATCATTGTATGGAAAAATTTCATGAACAAAAAAAGCGTCGGCCTTCTGGTCTTTACTTTCAAATTTCTTCCACAGTAGGTGTGTGGAAAAGTAACAAGTCGAATGTTTTTGCGACATTTATTTTGGGAGATTTATTTTCAATTAACGTAATTAGTATTAATAACCGATATTAATCAGAGAATAAAACCGTGAATCCTCCTGGTAACAACGCCAAAGCCGTCGTGTCAATTCAAAATTATTGATGCGTTTGCGCGATCACTTGAACAATTAAAAAACGGCCATAGACAGCCGAATGGCGTTGAAACGAAACTTGTAAACACACGTGCGCAAACACAAAAAATGAATTAGGTAATGAAGTTATGCGGAAGACGTTTTTGTGAAGATGTTTTTTTTTGCGCAAAAAACGTAATCATCGCCAAATGAATTCAAGAAATGATATAATTGGCATTTGGGTCCAAATTCTCACATAGATTTTTTTTCTAGATGCGTGAGACATCATGGCTACCGAATTAAAATCGTCCCAACCCCACAAAAATGTATAAAAACATTGTTGATAAGTAAAACGCTCGAATATAAGTCCATTTTAACTCCAGGCCTAAATTACAAACATAAACAGCTCACATTTTTCTCACAAAATTACTGGTCAGTGTAAATACGTAATTTCCAAACCTTTTATTTCCACATATCTAAAAAAAGTGTAAATCAATTTAAATCTAAGATAAACCATTGGAACATTATCAAGGAAATGAACAACCACTACTTATACTGACGTAATCTTTAGCATTACAAAATGCCAAATCACAAACATTATGAAAACGCAATTGCACGTTTCAGTCAAACCTACGAAGTGATTGATTTCGCTGTATACAGCTCATCAGTGCAGCTTTGTAGGCCAGTACCATCTGCATATCAAATTACAACTCTTGTGACCCACTCAGATGGATGGTTCCAATGGTTTATCTTATTCGAACTGTCGTAGATAAAAACAAATTAATTTTGTTTTCTTTCTTAAATAAATTTAAATCTAGTTCATAAAAAATGTTTGCTCAGAAGATTAATCAATATTCAAATATCTTAAAAATAGTGTGTAGAATGATTGTGTCTGAAATGTGCGTTGAAATCGTTCCATTCGAATGAATCAAATCTTCTTAATTCGATCGATCCAAAATGTATCTTTCTCCCCATCCACTTTGAAGCCAATACAAGTCGTTCGCTAACATAAATCGATACTCTTCGTGCACCGACCAACTTCCCACGTTCTTGGTTCAATTCTTTTAAATCAGGAAACTGCATCACATTATAAATTCCACCTGGATGAACCATATGCAAAATTTTCATTGTTTTTAATTTTGCTGATTCGCGAATGAATGGTAAAATGTGATTTAAACTCGCTTCTACGAAATATAAACGTTCAAGATTTGGTAATTTGCTCGGCAAAATATCGATGTTTGCAATTTCAAATGCATTTCCAATGTTCAATGTGCATAAATTGTCCAAAGAAAAGTCAATGCGACTAAAAACTCCATGTAATGATTCGACTGCATTCAAAAGTGGTGGCGAAACTATTTGATCAAGCTGTGTTTGTGCGTTCATCGTAGAGTAAATGTGTAGGCGTTTAAAAAATTCACGATCGTACAATTTATTCAGTAAAGTGTGAATCGGTTCTTCAATGTTTTCACTTGAGAATTCCAATGCCAAATTATTCAACTTGATATCTGGAGCTTCGAACGTGTTTTGATTTTCCCATAGACTCAGCAAGTCGATAGAAAATGTTTTGACATGTGAATTTTTGTGGAAAAATGTCTTTAGTTCGTTTTGTTTAAATTCAAAAAATTCAGTCAATTCAAGCATTTCAAGTGTCGGGTATTTTCGCAGCATCCAATTATTATCGGAACCGATTACAATTGATTTGTTCGACATTTTTTCCGATCGCTTCACACTTAAGCTTCTCAATTTCGGACAGTATTTCAGAATATTTTCGTAAAAATCCACACGAAAAATACACTCATTCATCTCCAATACTTCAATCTCCTTCAGCACCTCTTTTATACACTCAATGAAATCGTTCGATAAATTATCTCCCAGTCGAATTTCATGTATCGATTTACAATTTTCAGCGATGAATTTATATAGTCGCATATTATTGCCTGAGATTGATATTTTCCCAATAAAATTGCTGAAAATAAACAAATAACGATTGATAGTGTAATCGCTACTGCTCTCGGCGATTACTCGTTTTGACACGTAATTTGATTGGTAGAAACTACCGACCACGAATTGTAATCGCTTACAAGTTCTCGCAATTGATATCAAATCGTGCAATTTTAACCATTCGAAAATTTCGTGGAAACAATCGATGTTTAACTTGAAAATTGACGCAGACGATTCTTGAGGTACTCGTTTGACGATGTCCATTTTTTTGAAATTTTATTCTTTTACACAAATTTAAGTAATTTTAATAGATCTAATCGTTAGAGTTTACTTGAAAGAACTTTTGAAAATCAATTTCTCTGGATTCACAATAATAAAAAAGTTCATTTCGGACGAAGCTAATTTCTATGCATAGAAGTGAATGTAAATTGATTAGTGAGCTTTAGTTGACTGAAATTTTCATAAGAAATATCAATTGATTAAATGACACATCTGATAGTAAGGAATCGACAAACAGCTGCCTTTAACTAGGGTTTATAGGGCAGTAGTATGCGAGGACAATTTTTCAGGGGAAGGACTGATTTCGTTTTTTTTTTGGAGATCGCTTTTTTCGGTGAAAATCCCTAGCAAATTTTCTCGGCAAAAAACCCTAGGAAATCGGAAAAATGTCTCTGCATCCAAAAACCCCTAGCAAATCGAAAGAAATTCTCCTCATTTTAAACATTGCTGAGCAAAAAAAGATCACCATTCGCCCTAAAAAATTCAAATAATTTCCGCGAAAAAAATCTCATCCAGATCACAGGGACCTACTCCCCCTCCGAACACTACTGATATAGGGTTTTTCATGCAAGTGACTCGCACACCCCAGTAGAGAAAAGTCCATACTGACCAATTGAGATGCCAGTATTAGATGCACTACCTTCGGTACAAAGGCAGAGAATTTGGTTACCAGCTCTCCTTAAATATCAATCAAAGCAATTGCATTAGGCTGTTTGCAGTGATTTACTCCTATTTAATATCTCAACCTTAAAAATTCAAAATAGCTCCAGTCTATGCTCTGAGAAAAAGAAAAAAATAACAAAGCAAATCATTTGATTTTCATACTCCGTCTGAACCGAATACTTATCTCTCAATGCCACAGAATTCATAAAATTAAAAAAAGAAATATATTCGCGTGCACATGGTGTCCTTCACAAATAGTGAATAACATTTTTCAATTCGAATAAATATAGTTTCATTCAATTCGTTTCAGTTTATTAAAGCAAAGAGAGTTCAATTGCGTATTTGGTTTGAAATTCACTGCAAACATTTCATCAGCTGAAACAAAAATAAAGGAAAATGCATCCACATAATACAGAAAATGAACTTGGCATGGTCAATGTAACGTTATCAGCAAACGTAATCGAGTAAACTTTATTAATATGAATAATATATTGTGACGCCCTTATAAAATGGGATTGAGAAAGCGTTTCATTGTAAAATTTTCACATATTTATAGTAATTTTTCTACATTTATTTATTGCGCGCACATTTCGTGACTAAATAAATTTTATTCTGTGATAAGGGAATAGCTGATCAAAAGTTTTCAAACAGGTCGCACATTTCTTCAATTTCTTCACGGCGATCTTTGCTCCTTTTAGGTTGTACGCTTAAATGCATCTATCTTTCTTATATATTATGTACTAACTAATAACTATTCGTTGTAGGCTCCGCTCCTATTCTCTCTTGGTACACTCGAACATATATAGTAATAAATCCAATAAATTCTCCATTCAAAATGATGTGATAAATCGGTGCCTTGCGTTCAAGTGTTTGAATTCAAAAGATTCTCCTCTTCTAAGTTCAATAAATTTAAGGTTTAAATCACTTGTTGCCCACTTTGTAGCCAAAAATACCGTTTCATTGACATAAATCATAAGTTTTCTCGCTCTAATCAATGTGCTTCGCTCTTTGTCTAATGCCACCAAATCAAGTACACCCTTTTCCAAGTGTGTTCCATCGACGAGTAAATCAATTTTCATTACTTTTAAACTTTTTGATTGCCGTACAAATGGCAAAATATCATTTGCCGTCGCTTCTGTAAAGTGAATTCGTTCCAGTTTCGGGAATTTATCTGGAAATTCCTCCAAATTCGTAACATCCAAACCTTTATTAATGTCCAAATTCTTAACATTCAACAATGGATTTTCGATCAAAGTAACAAATCCACCAATCATTTCCAGTGAATCCATTGAAAATAGTTTCTGCAAACAATTATTACGATCGAAGAACGTGATGTACAGATGTAATGATCGATAAAATCCCTTTTCATATAATTCCGTCAACAATTGATAAATTAAATTGACAATAAATGCTGGTTCAGCATCGGAGTCTATGTTTTTCGGATGAAAATCGATGGCAAGCCGTTGAATTTTGCCACCGCATGACAAAAACGATTGACGATTGATCAAAAGAGACTTTGCATCGGTTGAAAAACTATGCACATTCTGGTTCGATTCAAAAAAGTGTTTCAATTCATTGCCTTTGAACTCGTACAAATCCGTCAATTCCAAATGCTCAAGCGATGCATACTTTTGTCGCATCCATTCATTGTCAGTTCCAATTATGGTGCCACCATCACGGTCATAGCTTGATCTTGACACACTTAAACGATGTAGTTTTGGACATAATTTCAAAAAATCTCCGTAAAAGTTCTGCTTGAAACAACACTGATCCAATTCAATCACTTCGACTTGCGGTAGAATTGCTTTTATGCACTCGATTTTGACGGAATCTAATTCAATTTGAGCCAATCGAATTTCGTTTAGCAAATGGAAACGTACGGCATTGATGGAGAGAAATGAGTCCGGGAAATCACCGAAAATCGATATTTTTTCAATAAACAAACTGAAGATGCTGATTTGACGGGGCTTCCAACACATGTAAATATTATCATTCACATACGTTTTTCGTTTGGCCGCAAAATTTTGCTGAATAAAACGGCTGGCAATTCGTTGGAGACGCTGACACGTATGTCCAATCGATATGATATCATCCAAACACAAGTAATCGAAGACTTCGTGAAAACAATCAATGTCCAATTTCATAATCGGTGGTGCAACCATTTTTAACGAAACTTTGCACAATGACGCCATTTCAGTGCCGAGCGGTGATGATTTTCGTTTTTCGGCTTCTCGTCTTAAAGTCATTGAGGCTGGATTTTGGTACCAAATTTTTCAATATCACCTTTGAAAATTGCACCTCAAGAAATCAAGTCTGGAATTTTGAGAAAAAAGGATTTGAATTTTTTGCGGGAAAACTTTTATATTATAAAAAAATATTCGAACTTTTTCAGAATCTTTTTTTTATTCAATTCTCGTGAAATATTTGAAAGGAAATTACCGTTTTGAAAAAAATGATGCAGTGAAAATCAGCAGCACTTTTACTTGTACCTCAATTTGCCAGTGTTGAATAAATCAACTAACGAAACGATTGCAATTGTAGTTCAGATGCATCATTGTGAAACGTGTAATATAGGTCAAACGCCGCAAAACTATCGCGTCAAAGAGATACAACGCAATTAATTAAACAATTACAATAAAAACGACTGACATTCAACGCAACGAAATCACAGTTTTAATCGTGCTTGCCGTGTGTCAATGGATTTAGCGAAATCATTGAAATGTATTGCGCTTTGATTTAGTTTCCAATCATTAGCTCTCATTTACTGATTTAATTAACTGTCAATAAATTATTTTTGCAGACTATTCGAGTTCTAATCAGACAGAGAAAATCGAGAAGAAAATGAATTATTGCAAACACACGCAACTGATAGAGTTTAAAGACCTATTTCATACAATGGATGGTGACAATTTATCTCCATTATTCCACTTTATTCACTTATTTTTGTTAGTTTTTTCGTGCTTTAATCACAATGCTCTATTTTTCTACTCGATTATTTAAACGAGGGATATATTGTTTTTCTTTATTCACATCAATTAATTCAAAATGAAAAAGAAAATAAAGTAGTACAAAATATATTCTCATGAGGATTGTGTCAATGAAAAGAACTTTTTATAAATACAAAGAACAGTCAATAAAAGCGACTTTTCTATTAGATAAACATTGATATCTATTGGAATAAAGAGACATAAGTATTCTAGCGTAAGTATTCCAATGGAATAGTATAAATACATCTTTCAACACCGATAAGTATTGGAATGGTTTGTATATACTCACACATACATATGGTCATATATGACAACGATCGTCTAACAGCTGATTTTGACGTTGTTTGTTGAATGTTTTCAAGTGTATTACAACCCAATACATGTACACTCCGTCAAATACACACAACGTCAAAAAATCATTAACATAATAACAACACATGGTAGCGACGGTGCGTTGGAACACGACAAACTCATTTTGGGCGGACAAATTTTCAATTTTTATTTGTGATCGAATTAATTTAATAATAATTTTCTGTTTTTTTTTTTTCTAAAAAAAATTATTTTTGTAAATATTTCTGCCAACAAGATAAAATGTAATAAAATTGTGTGAAGCAAATTTCGAGTAGTGTTAATGTAAACAAATCGACTGACATTGAAAATGTCATATATAAATAGTTTCCAATGAACACTAAAAAGCACAATTTTATTCAAATGAAGTCAATCCAATGGAAAATATATGATTAAATCGATTTGAATGACATTTTACCGACGACAAAAAGTGTTCGCCGGTTTTAATTCATTATTTTGACGACTGAGATACATGCTCAGGACATTTTTTTTATATTAGAGATATTTCGTCTTTTGTACCTGAAGAGAAGGAGGATTTGTAGTTTAAGAAGCATAATCAAATCATAGCCACAATGAAGGTACCGTTGGCTATTCTGGGAACATTTCTGGGCTGCTGTTCAAATGTTATTTTTATGGAATACATGATCAAGTAAGTAGTAGAAAAACACTGTGTACAACAATGCGGAAACCACACAACAGTGCTTGTTTGTATTGGATGTCTAATACGGGGTTTAGACATTGTCCATACCGTAACACCATGCATTTTTTATGAGACCGGTTGAGAATTGATCATCGATTGAATTGATGAATATAATTGGATGCACGAATTAGCGGAGCTGCCTCTAATTGGTGTGGCCTTAAATTTGAATCGAGTATACAAAATTTTACTTTTTATACTCATTAAAAAATGTGCATTACTCAAAATTGACTATTAAATTCATTATATTTTCTTTCAGAATGGATCCAGGATCGGGTAATCTAGTTTCATTTGCTCAATTTGCGTTCACCGCCCTGGAAGGGTTTATATTCACCTTGAAGTTTGGCACACAATCGCTTCGCATCGATTACAAAAGTTACGTGGTTCTAGTTGGAATGTTCTTTGTAGCACATACTTGCAATAATTTTGTATTTGACTTCAACATCCCCATGCCGTTACACATGATTATTCGATCGGTGAGTGATATTCAAAGGGTTTCGACAAAATTCGTCTAAATTCAAAATCTTTTTTCCCCAGGGTTCGTTGATTGCAAACATGATAATGGGCATAATCATCTTAGGCAGGCGTTACGCTTTCTCCAAATATTTATCCGTTTTAATGATAACATTGGGCATTTTTATTTGTACTATTGTGTCTGGAAGTAATATTGTGAGTAGGATTTTGAAAATTTATGAATAAGTAGAATTATACTGAATTTACACAACAACAACCAAAAATGCCTTTCCTACACTAGGGAAAGTTATATTTTCATTCGATAGATTTTTTCAATTCGGTGTATTTTTTTTTTTTTTTCAGAAAAGTACCGTCAATTCGGAGCTGTACCCGGAGGACACAAATGACTACTCGGTGTTTTTCTGGTGGGTGTGTGGCGTTTCACTCCTTACTTTCGCATTGTTCATATCGGCTCGAATGGCGATTTATCATGAAGATCTGTACAAACGCCATGGTAAACATCCTCGTGAAGCACTTTTTGTCACAGTAAGACCATTATATCCACATGAAAATTCATTCAATTTATATAAAATATTTTTTCTCTTTAATATCTTAGCATTTGATGCCACTGCCAGCATTTTTACTATTACACAACAATATTGCAGAGCATATGGCGATAGCGAGTGCCAGTGAACCGGTCGCCGTTCCCGTATTCGGAGTGTCGATTCCGGTTCTATGGCTTTATTTACTTGCAAATTGTTTGACACAAAATTTATGCCTTAATTCGGTGTTCGTATTAACAACCGAATGTAACTCATTGACCGTCACATTAGTCGTAACACTGCGGAAATTCATATCATTACTGTTCTCAATTGTTTATTTCAAGAATCCGTTCACCATTTACCATTGGTTTGGTACAGCATTAGTTTTCATCGGTACAATGATTTTCACGGAAATTTTCCCATTATTTAGAAATAAACCGGCCACCGAAACATACACCAAAGACGTCAACGGTGGCAGTACAAAATTGAAAGAAAATTAATTTATTTTTTATTTACTTTTTATTGTGTAGATGCAATTAGTCATAAGACGTTTTTTTAAATTATTATTTATTTATTTTTGCTGTTTACATGGTGTTATTGAATATCCAAAATGTAAAAAATGTTGAGAAAAAATTTCGACTGTATTAATGCCACTTATATGAGTCAGTCTAGCTTGCTCAATTTACTGTATCTTAACATTTAAATTTTATTAAATTATTTTCTAAAAATAAATTGGGCAAAAATGTTAACTTTCTGTATATTTGACAAAGCACATATTGATGGTATCAATTTGATGCTATTAAGAACAGCTTTTAGTTACCAATAAAACCCGATCAAATAATGCTGATCACCAATAGGGCAGGGCTATGGGCGATCCAACATTACTTGAATGGTCCCATATTATTAACTCCCATTGGTGAATTGGACGGTATTCCCAATTTCATAAATAGACGCTCTGACTTTTGTCTTTAATAGATTTTTGAAATTTTCGATTTTTTTCCCATCTAATTTGCCTACCCTGAATATCAGTTTATTTTTAAAATTAAAGAATCTCATAATTTTTTTTTTGTAATTTTTTTTTACTAAAAATGAAAAATTTACAATCTTGAAAAAATGTTACCAATTGTATCGACGACTTTTTTTATAAAATATGCCAATACCCTGTACAATTTCAACCACCTGTTCGCACCTGTTGATTTAGTTATTTATTTTTACTACACATATGTTTGACGTCTAGAAAATAAAATCCTTAAATGAGTAAATTTAATTTTTTTTATTTTTTTTTTTATAATTGTATATGACACGTTACTAAATTTTAGTAATACACTAATTACTATTGATACCTAATTGAATGCCCAAGAATAAATGCGAGACCGAAAAAAATTGTCGGAAAAAATTTCAATTCTCGCATTCTGTCTCGAGCATTCAGTTTTAAATTTCCTTCAAATTGCATCATCTCTTCGAATGTTTTAAATCACAGACACCTAACAAAGGTGAAAAAGCGTATTTTATAAATTTATTTTGATTTTTTGCTGGCGGCTGTCGCATCTGGTTTGTTAGTGAACGATGGCAACATTTCTGTGAAAATCATTGTGCCGAGGAATACTAATAGCGTGCCAATCCAATGGTAAATGGTGAACGGGTTGTTGAAGTAAACAATTGAGAACAGCAACGATATAAATTTTCGCAACGTAACCACTAATGTGACGGTCAATGAGCTGCACTCGGTTGTTAGTACAAATACCGAACTGATGCATAAATATTGCGTCAAACAATTTGCAATCATGAGGGCCCATAGTATTGGGATCGATACACCAAGCACTGGGACTGATACCGGCTCACTTGCATTCGCTATCACTATGTGCTCCGCAATATTGTTGTACAACAGCAAAAATCCGGGTAACGGCAGTACATGCTAATAAAATTAAATTAAAATAAAATGTCAGTAATTGAATTGAAAAATGATTTGTATCGAGCTGAATGACTTACGGTGACATAAAGTGCTTCACGTGGATGCTTTCCGTGTTGTCTGTACAAAACTTCCTGATAAATTCCCATTCGGGCCGATATGAATAGTGCAAGAGTTAGGAGGGTAATGCCACACACCCACCAGAAAAACACCGAATAGCCACTTGTGTCCTCGAGTCCCAACTCTGGATTGGCGGTACTTTTCTGAATTTTTGTTTTCAACACATTAAAATTCGTATCGAATATAACGTTTTTGTGGTTAATTTGTAGAACTGATTTATTACACCTAGTGTGTAAGGGTTAAAGCATTTTTGACTTACAATGTTGCTCCCAGAGACAATGGTACAAATGGCAATACCCAATGTTATCAATAAAACTGACAAATATTTGGAGAAAGCGTAACGCCTGCCTAAGATTATTATGCCCATTATCATGTTTGCAATCAACGAACCCTGGGGAAAAAAGATTTTGAATTTAGACACCTTTTGTTTTATAACAGTGATGAACATTTGAAAAAAAGTTCGATTGAAAAAAAAAAATTATACTCACCGCTCGTATAATCATGTGTAATGGCATTGGAATGTTGAAGTCAAACGCAAAATTATTGCAAACATGTACTACGAAAAACATTGCCACTAAAACAACGTAACTTTTATAATCGATGCGAAGCGATTGTGTGCCAAATTTTGAGGTGAATATAAACCCTTCCAGGGCGATGAATGCAAAATGTGCAAATGAAACTAGATTCCCCGATCCTGGATCCATTCTGAAAATAGATATATCGTTTTCATTAGTATGTTTTTAAAAAATCAGATTTTTTAAAGAAAAACATGTCACTTACTTAATTGTGTATTCCATAAAGATAACATTTGAACAGCAGCCCAGAAATGTTCCCAGAATAGCCAAGGGCACCTTCATTGTGACTATGATTTGATAGCTTAGTAGCTTCTTACACTACAAATCCTCCTTCTCTTCAGGTACAAAAGACGAAATATCTCTAATATAAAAAAATATGCCACTCTCCTGTGCATGTATCGGCCGCACTCTTTGTTGTCGGTAAAATGTCTTTCAAATCGATTTAATACATATTTTCAATCGAAATAATTAGTTTATTTCAATAAAGTTTGGTTCATCGTACTTATTTGCGCAGTGAAACCGCCTGTTTGTAGCTGATTTCAATGCCAACCAATTTGTTTGTATTTAACATACACCTGTAGATATTTAAGACATAACACGATATCACAATTTTATTATTTTCCTTCCCAATTAAATAAGCGTCAAAATAATTTAAAAAAAAATTAAATAAAAAAATTCACGCGAAGTCTACAAAAAAAATCTTTATTTAATGTGTCTGCTCAAAGTCGGTGTGATTTCAACACACGACTGCCACGAATTAATATTGATACGTCGATGCCTTGCAACCGGTTTTTCGTTGGCTTCTTATGTATTTCATGGCTTGCTAATGTATTGGTTAGTATTTTATTGAAGTCAAAACATTCGACAAAAAATGTCAAAATCAGCTGTTAGACGATCGTCGTACTCATCTCTCCCCCTCTATTTCCATATTTCCATGAGTATTTGAAATTCGTTTCTTTCTATTTACAGATAGATATTTTTATTTAGCTGTTTACTATTTTAACGAACATCGCTTTTAAAAATCGCAAACATTGCATTCCATAAAGAATTTTTTTCTTCTCAATTTCAAAAAATATAAACTTGCCACTATAAATTCAATTAATTCACACAATTCAACTGATTTGGTACCTCAATTTACTTAATATTTGAATTTGTACTTACGAATTGTCAGTTCATTGGATTGAAGCGTCAGTACAAAGTCACTTTACTCAATTGTCAATCGAAGAGGAAAAGCAACCGGTCAACGATTAACTAACATCAATTGTAATTACTCTACATAAGAAAATAACTCATTTGTCATTCGAAGAGAAAAACTCAACATCATTGCATTGAATTTGCTGCTTTAATTATTCTATATTTAATTGATGGTAAGCATTTCGAATTAAATTCCCGAGTGAAAAATGGCATTGAATTTTTCAATGCGTAGTGTAAAACGGCATTTAAGCAATAAATCGAGACCACATGGTCCGTGCGCACGTTGAGTGCATACACCACATCGCTATAGCCATGCGGTGTCGATTTATTCCTTAAATGCCGTTTGACACTACGCATTGAAAAATTCAATGCCATTTTTCACTCGGGTTCTTCTTATTTTCGTCAGTGATTGGAAGCACACTAAAACTTGTTTCACAGACTTGATGTAGTATACTAATACTACATCATATTGTGAAATAACTCATTGTTATTGGTTCAAAATAGTTCTGTGTGTTTAAATGAAATTTCTTTGTTTCATGTAATCGATAGACCGACAAACAAGGTATAATGAGCCAAAAACAAGACGCCGATCAAAGTGGCGCAATTGCCCAGAAGATGAAATCGAATGATGAAGATAATAACCCAGCTAAACGTGCTGTTGTTGCTGTAAACGATGAACAAAAATTGGCCGAAATTTTCAAACTTACCATCGACTGTTTTGAAGAAGTGTTCGACTATTTATCGCTGAAGGATTTAGCATCAATTGGGCAAACATGTAAACGAATGAAACGAATAGCCGGACATTGTTTTCTATTAAACTATGAACCAACAACAGCATACTTTCACAATGGTGGTTTCAACTATAATCGTGTCAAGATTGATTGTTTCAGCAATTTAATACAAAACGTCTTCTTTAATTATGAGGATGCTACAAATGATCAGACGATAAACTTCATAACTCTTTTGAAACAATTCACATCAATAAAGGGACTCGAAATTGCTGACGTCCATTTAACAATGGCTTGGATTAATGAAATGGAAGCGATCCTCTGTGAAGCTGAATCTTTAACATTAGTTTTTTCTGATTGTGAAGAGAATGTATTTGATGCATTTGTTGCCGCTTGCCCGAAAGTCAAATATTTATCTCTAGCACAAGAAACAAACGAAACCCATTGGTTGCATAAAATCTTCCCAGCATTGGAGCATATTCAATTGTGTGGCTTTGATTGGGATGAAACACCAGCATTAAAAACATTTTTCGAGCTAAACACAACAATTAAACAATTTTCTGTCGATGTGGTACTCTTGTGGTCAAACAGAGAGTTGTTCAAAAATTCGAACATCAAACTTGATATTTTGGCGATTAATTATGATTTTGATGATGACAAAATTGAATTCGATTTATTTTGCCGTTTGCTAAATGAGCTATACGAACATGGATTTTATAAGAAACTGCATTTTTATAGCGCATATGGGGTCAATCAAGAAGTTATCGATCAATTGGCTTCAGTAAAAGGGTTGGTGGAATTTCGCTCCGGATCGAGTGATGATTGCATCAATGTTGGTGCTTTAAGTAGCTTGGAAGAACTACGCGTCTACGAGAGTCGTTTTGTCACTGATTTGAAGACACTTCCACATATGCTTTTGAAATTGAAACGCATTTGTTTTTATTTTGCCAGTTCTGATGACATTTTACCATTTATTTGCCACGCAACGAATTTGAACAAAATAAAAGTAGAATGTATTCAGAGTGGATCACATTTCGATGAAAATGATAAAATTCTCGATTTAATTGCATTGAATAAAGAGCGTAAGAAATTAGTTGGAGCGCTCAAAATCACAATTTACGTCGGGGAAGATGTGTATTTGGCAACAAAATGGGCAACGAAACAGACCGACTTCAATATGATCGAAATGAAACGAGAATCTTCATACGCGTGGGATGTCTAAGTTAAATTATTATTTTTTCGTACTCAAATTAGTTTTATGGCGCCATTGTTCTTTAAATAAAAAAAAAAAAAATTATATTTTCATTCAACATTTCTCTATATTTCAACACTGTGTCTACATAATAAGTTGGATGAATTAATCAAAATAAAATTCACTGTAACTTTGTCATATTTACTGTGTTATCATTGTTAACTTATCAGATCTGCGGTGCTAATCTCTCTTCAAATGGTAATATGGATTAATCATTCATTTTTTATCGCATCTTATTTATTTAAATCTATAATATAAACATCCAAATAATGAATTGGAAAACAATTTATGAATTTAAACGATCATGCGGTTGAGTAATGAGTATACACTTTACTTAATATTTGAGTTTGTACTTATCAAATGTCAGTTCATTGGAAAGCAATTTCATTCAATGAAGTGTCAAATTACTTATCAAAAATGAAGCTCAGTCGTCAATGAAAGAGGAATCAAAACAAAATATAATTCTATTCGCTCTAAGTTCTCTACATTTTATTAAAGGTAAGCTTTCAATTTCTTTATTTTGTGTTTATTTCCATTTATTTTCGTCGGTGATTCGAATCACACCATTTGAATACTGTGTGATGTAATCGATAAAATGAGCTTGTCTCATAGTATTGCCGTAATGAAGCGATAACTAATACACCAAATTGTGAAATACGTGACAAACATTACACAATCACACAAGTTATCAGTATTGTGGTCCTTTCGTTGAATCTTATTTATAAAAAGTGATTTTGTGTATTAAGTGAACTCTCTTCATTTCATATAATCAACAGATCGACAAACCAGACACAATGAGCCAAGAACAAAACTCCGTTCAAAGTGGTCCAAGTGCCAAGAAAATGAAATCGAATGATGAAGAGAATAATCCAGCCGAACGTGCTGTTGTCATTAACGTAGTACAACAATTGGCTGATATTTTCAAACTTAACATCGATTGTTTCGAGGAAGTGTTCGACTATTTATCGCTGAAGGATTTGGCAGCAATTGGGCAAACGTGTAAACGAATGCAACAAATTGCAGGTCATTGTTTTCAACTAAATTATGGAGCCATACAAGCACGATTTTATGAATGTGGTTTTGACTGTAAAGATGTCAAGATCGATTGTTTCAGCAATTTAATACAAAGCGTATATCTTAGGTATAAAATAAATTATAATATAGATGAAAGAGATGAGCGTACTGATACTGGTGTCAAGAATGCTATAAATAATCAGACAAAGAACTTTCTAACTCCTTTTAAACATTTCACACCAATAAAAGAAATCACCATTGGTGAGGTTCATTTAACAATGGCTTGGATTAATGAAATGGAAGCGATCCTCTGTAAAGTTGAAAGTGTAACATTAGAAAGTGTAATAATAGGAGGAGAAAATGAATTGGACGCATTCATTGCTGCATGCTCACATATCAAATATTTATGCCTGTGCGTAGAAACAAACGGACACCAATGGATGCATCGAACCTACCCAACATTGGAACATATTGAATTGGATTTCTTTGATTGGGAAGAAATACCAACATTAATAACATTCCTTGAGTTAAACACCACAATTAAGGAATTTTCTTTCGATCCGGAACACTTTTGGTCAAACAGAGAGTTGTTAAAAAAATCAAACATCAAACTTGATACATTGGTGATTCACCTTGATGAGCATGAAGTCGAATTCGATTTATTTTGCTGTTTGCTAAATGAGCTCTTCGAATCTGGATTTTATAAGAAACTACATATGTTTTTTTATCGCGGATTTTGGATGGATCAAGAATGTGTCAATGAATTGGCTTTAGTCAAAGGTATAGTGAAATTTTATGCCGGAACTAATAGCTATGGTTACAATATTGGTGCTTTAAGAAACTTGGAAGAACTACGCATCTTCGATTGTGATATTATTACTGATTTGAAGACACTTCCACAAATCTTTTTGAAACTGAAACGCATTGATTTAAGACACACTAGTTCTGATGACATTTTAACATTTATTTGCCACTCAAAGAGTTTGAACAAAATTAAAGTTCGAAATTACGATGAACACGGCAAGATACTTGATTTATTTGCGTTGAATAAAGAACGTGCGAAATTAGTTGGAGCGCACAAGATCACAATTTACGTCGAGGAAGATGTGTATTTGGCAACAAAATGGGCAATGAAACAGACGGACTTCAGTTTGATCGAAATGAAACGAAGCACATCATACGATTGGGGATTTTAAGTTTGAATTATTCTGTCTTTTATTAAATCGAAATTATGGAGTTTGAATTTTTACTTTTTGTTTTAATTTTTTAATCAAATATTCATAATCATTTGAATAAAATCAATTTTGTAATTAAAATATAAATGCAATAGTTAATTCATAGAACGACAGTGATATTTAATTTTTATTTTTTTAAATATTCCTATGAAAATTAATTGAGATCAGTACGAATATCAACATACAAAATAAATTCAATATATTTGTTTCAATTTAAACAATCAACGTTTTTATTAAATACACGTTTTACTTAACGTTTGAATTTGTACTTATTAATTGTCAGTTCATTGGAAAGCACTTTAATCAAATGAAGTGTCATTTTTTTTCTTCAAAAAATGACGCAATTGTCAATAGAAAAAGAAAAAACAACAGAATTGCTTTGTATTTGTCGCTTTAATTATTCAACATTTTATTGATGGTCAGCATTTTGAGTTTATTTCTTCTTGTTTTCGTCAGTGATTGGAATCTTATTATTTAGATACAGATTTCATAGTTTTGCATCTCACAAGTTGTCAGTATTGTGGTCCTTTCGCTGATTTTTATTCATAAAAGTGATTGCGCGTATTAAATGAACCGAAATGAACTCTATTTATTTCATGTAATTAACAGATCGACAAACGTGCCACAATGAGCCAAACACAAGACCCCGATCAAAGTGGTCCAAGTGACAAGAGGATGAAATCGAATGATGAAGAGAATAATAATGAACAACAATTGGCTGATATTTTCAAACTTAACATCGATTGTTTTGAAAAAGTGTTCGACTATTTATCGCTGAAGGATTTGGCAGCAATTGGGCAAACGTCATCAAATACATTTTCGTCAAAATCACAAAAATCTAATGTTACACTTTCAACTTTTCCTCGGATTATTGAAATGGAAGCGATCCTCTGTAAAGTTGAAAGTGTATCATTAGATTTTTATGATTTTGACGAAAATGTATTTGATACATTAGCGATTATTTATCCCAGCGATGAAGGTGAATTCGATTTATTTTGCTAAATGAGCTCTAAACTGTATTTTTATGGCACATATTGGTTGAATCAAGAATTTATCGATCAATTGGCTTAAGTGAAATGTTTGGTAAGATTTTGTGACAGAAGGAATACACAGGGTATCAATGTTGGTGCTTTAAGTAACTTGGAAGAGCTACGTGTCTACGAGAGTCGTTTTATCACTGATATGAACTCACTTCCACATATCCTTTTAAAATTGAAACGCATTCAGTTTACACTTGCCAGTTCTGATGACATTTTACCATACGTTTGCCATGCACAGAAATTGAACGAAATAAAAGTGAGCATTCTTGGGAGTGGATTACATTTCGATGAAAATGATATAATTCTTGATTTAATTGCGTTGAATAAAGAGCATCAGAAATTGTTTGGAGCGTACAAGATCACGATCTACGTCCAGGAAGATGTGTATTTGTTAAAAAATGGGCAATGAAACAAACTGAATTCAGTATTTTCGAAATGAAACGAAAAAATTAAATTATTATTTTTACATTTTTTATTGAAATTGTTTTATATTAATTTTACTTTTTAAATAATAAATGAATTGAATAACATTAAATTCAAAATAAACATAAATAAAATTCAGTATTGTTTGAGATTTTTAATAATAGAAAGTTAAAGATTTCTCGCATTTTATTTATTTTTTAAATTTTCAAAACTTTCACATTAATTGATTACTTTGAAGAACAAATGCCCACAAAAAAACAATGAATTAAAAAGCATATTATGAATTGAAACGGTTTTGTGATTGAGTACACACTTTACTTAATATTTGAATTTGTACTTATTAATTGTCAGTTCATTGGAATGAAGTGTCAAATTCGTTATCAAAAAATAGCTCATTTGTCATGTATTTGCTGCTTTTATTATTTCTATATTTAATTCATGGTAAGCATTTTGAATTTAATTCTTCTTATTTTCATCATGCTGATTGGAAGCACGCTGAAACTTGTTTCACAGACTTGATGTAATGGAAATTTCTTCGTTTTATGTAATCAACAGACCGACAAACCAGACACAATAAGCCAGAAGCAAGACGCAAAGTGGCCCGAGTGCCAAGAGGATGAAATCTTATGATCAAGAGAATAATCGAGCCAAACATGCTGTTCTTGCTGTAAACGATGAACAGTTGGCCGAAATTTTCAAACTTACCATCGACTGTTTCGAAGAAGTGTTCGACTATTTATCGCTGGAGGATTTGGCAGCAATGGGTCAAACATGTAAACGAATGAAACAAATCGCTGGTCATTGTTTCCAACAGAATTATGGAGCTACAACACTATACTTTGACACAGATAGTTTTTACCTTAATCATGTCAAAGTAGATTGTTTTAGCAATTTCCTACAAAACGTCAAAGTTAATGGTGAGATGTTCACAGACGATGAGTCTGATGACATCGATGCAGCAAATTCTCCATATGATCTGACGATAGATTATGTAACTCCTTTGAAACGTTTAACATCAATAAAAGGAATCAAAATTGTTAATGTTTCTTTAACAATGGCTCGGATTCACGAAATGCAAGTAGTTCTCAATAAATCTGAACGCGTAGCCATAAAATACTGTAGTTTGGATGAAAATGTATTGGATGCATTGATTGCTGCCTGCTCAAATGTCAAATATTTATCACTGAATCTAGAAATAAACGAAAACCAATGGATGCATCGAATCTACCCAGCATTAGAACATATTAAATTGAATGGTCTTAATTGGCGAGAAACACCAGAATTTAAAACTTTCTTTGAGCTAAACACAACAATTAAGCAATTTTCTGTCGATATGACAATCTTCTGGTCAAATAGAGAGTTGTTCAAAAATTCAACCATCAAATTTGATACATTGGCGATTTATTATGACAGCGATAAAGTTGAATTCGATTTATTTTGCCGTTTGCTAAATGAGCTCTACGAACGTGAATTTTATAAGAAAATGCATTTTTATGGCAAACGTTGGATGCATCAAGATATCAATCAATTGGCTTCAGTCAAAGATTTGATAAGATTTTGTGACGGAATGAATACACAGTGTATCAATGTTGGTGTTTTAAGAAACTTGGAAGAACTACGCGTCAACTACAGTTATTATACTATGGATATGGAATCACTTTCACATATCCTACCGAAACTGAAACGCATTGTTTTAATACAGGCTAGTTCTGATGACATTTTACCATACGTTCGCCACGCACAGAAATTGAACAAAATTAAAGTGAAATGTTTAGAAAGTGGATCACTTTTCGATGAAAATGAAAAAATTCTTGATTTATTAGTGTTGAATAAAGAGCGCGAGGAATTAGTTGGAGCGTGCAAGATCACGATCTACGTCGAGGAAGATGTGTATTTAGCAACGAAATGGGCAATGAAACAGACGGATTTCAGTATGATCGAAATTAAACGAGAAACTTCATATAATTGGGATTTTTAAATTTGAATTGCTTTTTTTTTCATTTTTTACCCAAATTAGTTTTATACAGTCATTTTTTCTTAAAACGAAAGTCTTTTTACATTTTCAATTGACATTTCCAAACAGTTTATGTTTTACTTTTTACAATTTACATAATAAAATCTAATAAAATGAATAACATAAAATTCAGTATCTGTGTCATATTTACTGTGTTATCACTGATAAATTATCAGATCTGCTGTGTTAATCTTGGTGTAAATTCTGTCCTTGAATGGTAAGATGGACTACTATTTCATAATTTATCGCATTTTATTTATTTTTTAAATTTTCAAAAGTGTCAAATTAATTGATTGCTTTTAAGACGAAATGTCCACAGAAAAACAACGAATTAAAAAACATATTTTGAATTTAAACGATCATGTGGTTGAGTAAACACTATACTTAATATATGAATTTGTACTTATCAATTGCCAGTTCGAAGAAGAAAAAAACAACAGAATTTCTTTGCATTTGTCGCTTTAATTATTCTACATTTTATTGATGGTAAGCATTTTGCGTTTATTTTGGGGTGACTTTAATTTTTTGGCCTAATACAATACCTTTCCTACACTAGGTGTGCGGAAAAGTAATAGTTCGTAACTGGTCTGTCTTAATTAAGTATTAATACTTTCAAAATGGGTTCTTCTTGTTGTTTTTACATTTTATTTGGTTAATTTTTTCAAGTTGTGTCTTATATTAAATTGTTTGAGTCTCAAAAACTAAACCGAAATCTTCCCTTTAAATTTTCGCCGAGAATCATATCATAAGAAACTGTTTGAAAATGTCGACCGATGATTGGATGCAAGAACTGGACAAAATGTTGACGAACATTGAACGGCAGGCGATGTCTTCACTACGAAATATTAATAACTATTTCGAACAATCAGGTCAATCGTTCCACCAAGCACATCAGAGATATTGTCTGAAGCGCTCAATTGACAGGTAATTCCTAGGGGCTTAATTCAAAATTTTCAACGACTGAATTCTATAATAGTATCTAAATTAACTGAATTTCTCAGCGAACGAATGAATTCCGGTGAATTCTACGGCGATTTCATTCAAATATGTGAGATAGTGGTGAATAGTTTCTGCTGGCAATTACTGCAATATTTATATTTTGTGTAACAAAATTGTAAATGTTTTTTATATTTTTTTAATAAAAATTAATTTTATTTTCAATTTTGAGCGATTTTCTATCGAAAACAATCGGAAATATTGAAAAAATAATAAATTAAAAAATATTGCGGTTATCATAACCTCACTTTATTAATTTGACACATTTCATTCTATTCACACGAATTCACCGAACTCATCAATAACCACTCGATTCAAAAGTGTGAATTTACGTGAATTTCTGTGAATTTTTTTGCCGTATTAAGCCCCTAGGGTAATTCATCCTTGAATTTTGTATTTTATGCCGTTCATTAATGATAATATCTTCTTTTCTTCTTTTCTTTAGATTAAATGAAGTTTATTCCAAATTTGAATGTGAATCGTCGTTCAGTAATCGTCAAAGTAGAAGTGTTGCTCCCATTTCAACCGACAATAACAACTCAAATGCAATTATTAAAATCAGCAATGATGAAGACTCAGATGAAAGACCCAGCACCAGTTCGCAACCATCCAGAGAGACTGCGTTTCGAAATGTTGATCGTGAGATTAAAACCGAGGATGATCATGATAAAAGCGATGATCAAGCTTCTCTCGGGGAGATACCCAATGTGGAAACAAAAGAAGAAGAAGATGTGGAAAATGATGAGATTCCCATAGTTCGTGTTCCGGCCAATCAACTGACCCGTGCATATAAGATAGAGTCAAACTGCTCTGAACGTGTCAAAATCGAAAGTGACGAAGATCATAATAAAGAAAACATTGAAAATGCAGCGAAGCGTGTAGCATCGAATTCTGCGAATATTTTAGATAAAATTGGTGACAACAACGAAACAAATGTATGTGAACCATACGGGAAGAAATCAGGAGTATCTCAGGGAAGAGTCGAATCGAAAGATGCAAGCTGCGAAATCAGTGAAGAAAATAACGCAAACAAGACGAACGAAGTGAACATTTCCAAAGCTGCTGTTGAAGTGAATTTAGCAAGAAAAGTGAGAATTGGTCAGTCGACACTTGATAAGTGGTTTTCTCAAAAAAATAAAAGTAATGAAAACAAAGAAAAATGCAATAGAGGAATCGCTGGCCAAGCAAAGAAAAAGAAAACGGACGTTCAGAGATCCCACATAAAGTTAGAAAAAAACTCCAAAATATCTAGTGATAGGAGAACTCACAGTGGAGTAAACCCATATCAATGTGATCAGTGCAAGAAACGATTTAGTAAAAAGAGTAATCTCACTATGCATATGAGGACTCATAATTTATCATAAGGATAGTTTGTTCCACTTATAGATGTGCCAAATCCGATATCTTAATACATTTTGTATTATGATAATATTTATTAGGATGCTATTAACTATTAACAACCAATCATACTACGCATATTAACATGGGTAGTAGTATTAGGATCGATCTTAATAGCGAGTAGTAGTATGTTTAT